AACTTGTGCCTTTGCTTCAATTTACATGCTAGGACCTGAAATGTGATAAAGGAACACAACTTAGCGTAAAATAGTCCAAGAGAGCAAAAACTCAAGCCAAAATGATCAAGAAACGAGGGTGCAAACATGTGCAAATAAGACGTTATCAAAGACCCTAGCCAGTCATCTGAACCTGTGTCTAAGACCTCCGGATTAGTTAGTGATGACACGCGATATGTGAACTCTAACATTTAGAGGCTGCCGTCATGGTGAAGAGACGTTAGGAATTGAGAGTATGAGTATGCACATCTTGCATCAAAATTCCGTCCTGACCCCACTGATCGATAGTGAGCGATTTATTTCCTCATATTTTATACACTCTTTACCCCGGTGAGGACCTAGATTGCTGGGTCTTAATTCTGATATCTTGAGCTTTGTGCATGAAGTGACTGTCTCGAATAAGTGGTTGAGTCAAGTCTATGTTGGTTGATGAACAGAAGGGAGACTCCTCCTTTACTCGATTTTGCTGCACTCGAATGTCCTCCGTGGTGGTTGTCCAGCTTGCGGTTGAAGTTGTTCAGGTGTTGATGTTTGAAAGCCATTATGATTCTCGTGTTTCGTGCCTATGTGATATGTCCCCAAGGGTTGCATGATTGAGATGTTTCGAGCTTACCTTGTATCTGACTTGGTTTGCTTGGGGACAAGCAAACGGTTAAGTGTGGGGGAATTTGATAGCGTCGTATTTGCACATGTTTTCACCCTTGTTTCCTGACCAATTTAGCTCGAATTTGTTGTTCCTTGGCCTATTTTACGCTAGGTTGTGTTGTTTTGTCGTATTTCAGGTCCTAGCAAGTAAAGAGGTGCATAGGCGCAAGTTTCGGGTCATTCGGGACAAGCAAACGGGCAGCCCCTGTCCAATTACGGGCGTAATTGCTCCTGGCATGCCCGTAAATGCAATGCCGAGCCTAATTCTTCAGAATTCCTATCGCAGAGACAAGTACGGGCAAGAGGCAAAGTGATTACGGTCGTAATTCCATAATTACTGGCAGTAATTGGGTAATTACGACCGTAAATCCTTTCTTCTGAGATAAGTGAAACGCGCATTTCGGGCAATTACGAGCAGACCAAGATTACGACCATAATTCAGCCCGTAATTCGAGCCAAAGGAGGGAGAATCGGATTTTTGAGGCAGATTCGAGCCAAAGGAGGGAGGGTCAACTTTTTGGAGCAAAAACATAGTTTTTGAGAGAGAAAGTGCGAAGAACAAACCTAGGAGCTATTTGGAGTGGATTTCTCACCATGGAAGCCCAAATTGCATCCCCATGAGTGAAGATTGACATCCCAGAGCAGATTTTCCTCATCTTTATGAGTATGACTACTCTGATTTTTGTTTACCTCTCTCTCTCTATGGAGTAGAACTTTCTCTCACTTAGATATGAAGAACCCTAGTTCAATGTGTTAGGAATCTTGATTGTAATTACGTTTGGATTGTGATATTGCTTGATTATAATCGATTGAAGTGTTTTGATTGAGTCAATTAAAGTCTGATCATCTTTTATTGATTTCTGCTGCAACCTGAGATAGATAGAATCTGATTAGGTTGTTAGAGCTTCTTCAATCGGTAGTAGTGAATCGATTATACGAGAGTTAGTCGATTCACTGCTTTGTACTGGAATCTAATTCCAGTAGTGGAGTTCTGTGTTCATTGCCTAAGCGTTCTATCCTGGTGAAGACTAGTCGTCTGCCGGGTAGTTTGACTGAGAGCGCGTGGTCAGCTTAAGAGATTCCAAGCCACTGTCGGATCTTTCGCAGTATAATCAGCAGTAAAGCAACCAAAAGTAATTACAACTGGGACCTAACTAAGGAGCTAGGGGGACTCATTCCCGAGTGACTTCCTTTGCTTCCGGAAACCGAACCATTTCCTATTTTCTTGCTGCTTTTGCTTAAATCAACAATTACTTAACTTAGTTTGCTAGATAACAGATATACACGGAGTAGGCAGTAGATCTAGACCCCGGGTTGACAATTAGAGTTTGCCTGTTACTGCATTTCCAGACTGCGATTACACTTGGTCGCAGTTTGGTGTTGTGTTTTAGTGTGTCAACGCGTATCTATAAAATTGGTGTAAATAGTTTTGAAAGTAATTTGTAATTATCTCATATAAAAATAAGAGAGACTGTAACAGTTAGAGACGGGCTAGTCCGACGCGGCGTTTTCGTCACAAATAATCAAATAATGAGGTTACAATTCCGATATTCAAAATTGATCATATCGATTTTATTAGATGGGGAAAAAATTACAAGCACTATTTTACAAAATTTATTGAAAAAACAATTATTTATAACTAAAAAATTCTACGGGGGGGGGGGGGGGGGGGGGGGGGGGGGGGGGGAGAACCATCTTAGGGGGATCAGCAATGTAAGTCATCACCATCACCCTTGCAGCAGAACTTCCCGATGAAAGGACTGCAGCACAACCTGCACCATGGATACTTTATGTCGATTTGATAATCCGCTGTCGGAGCTGGCTGTCGTTGCACTGTTATTGGTGTTGTCGTCATCATCGAGTCAACAAACACATCTCTCATTGCGCTACAAGGACGCTATTGTATCGCTACAGAAAGAAGTGTAATTGCTAAGAAGATTGTTGCAAGAAGTGTGATTGGTATTTGGGAGTTAACAAACTCCAGTTTTTTTCTCTATCACTATTCACTATTACCTTCTGTTGGTAACAAAATCCATGTTATATCACTCGTCCTCAGCATGTACTAACAGAACTCCCAGGTTCATTGTTAACTCTCCACTTGATCATGGGACAGGTTACGGTGATTACTACAAAAGTAGTAATCACCGTGGTTACTAAGGGTAAATTGGGGATGGAAAAATAAAGTATATTAATTAATTTTTTAATAATTACATTTAAGGTAGTTAAAAAAATTAATAATTTTTTAATTAATTCCGTAATCTCCAGCCAGATTTCCTTTCCATATTTTTCTCAATCTTTCTGCAAAAAAAAAACGAAATCAGTACCAATCCATTAAACAAACACTACCACTTTGAAAAACATCAATACCATTGCAGAAATAAATCTATACCATTACACGAAAACTACCATTGTATAAATAAATTTATACCATTACACGAAAACTACCAATATAAACAATCTATACCATAAACAATCAATACCATTGTAGAAATAAATCTATACCATTAAACGAAAACTACCAATATAAACAATCTATACCATAAACAATCAATACCATTGTAGAAATAAATCTATACCATTACACGAAAACTACCAATATAAACAATCTATACCACTGCACATTGAATCCATAAACGAAAAACTACCAATATGTCTGTTTGGTATGTATGTTGTGCTGGTATGGTATAGAGAGAGAGAGAGAGAGAGAGAGAGAGAGAGAGAGAGAGCAGCGAGAGAGAGAGAGAGGGTGGTTGGGGGCTGCTGCCGGCGGTGCGACGGGAGTGGTACGTGGAGGCGGTTGCGACGGGTTTGACTGGAGGGAGGATAGAACTAGGGTTTAGGTAGATTATATAGAATAATCAGGTGTGGTCACTTTTTAATTTCCAAAATTACCCTAAAAAAATCTTTACCGTAAGATTAAAAAAGAAGGGAAAATAATTAATCAAATGGTATATAAATAGGTTGCCACTGATTACTAAAAAATAAGTAAACACCCTAACCCATTCCACTTGATCACTGAAAATTAGGGATTCAGCTGAAATAATTTGGAATGATGCCATGCAAGTAATTGAATATTAATTTATGTATCTGTTTTCTAAAAGCCATTGTCAATTAGTTATTCTACATACATATTTTTTTTTATAAATGGAGACTCTTTGACGAAATTAACATTAACTGTGCTCATCATGATCAATTAAAAACAGACAGTCTAATCGATATTTTATATGAATGGTAGTCTCTCCAGAAAAGTAATAAGCTCGGTTATACCTTAGAAATTAGACTAGTATTGTATTTGTGATGTAGAAGAAAGAAGAATGGATCTTCCCTAGGGTTAGGACAGCAAAATGAATTGAGAAGTTTTTTTCATTACATAATCAACCATGTGTTTTTTAAAATGGAAATTTGAGAGTAGAAAAGTTGTTTTGCAAATTGACTCTCAAATAGCCATTGATCAGTTCATTTGATCGGCTCAATCGAACCATCTACATTTTTTGTTAATGTCGGAAATTAATAGTTTATTGACTTGACCTCGACTTCTTCTAATAGAACATGTATACAGAGAAGCCGATTTCGCGATTGATTATTTACTGTCTCTAGGGCATTCTTTGTCAATTGGGTTGGGAAACACGTGTTTAACCCTCCAAACCATTATATTAGTTATTGGTTTCATTTTGATCAAAATAGAGTCGAACTTGAAACCCAAAAAATTATTAAAAAAAGGTTGATCGCGTTCCTTTTTCTATAAAAATAAATTTGGAGCATCCAGCTATAACCCATGGGCTTTGAGAGCCTAATTACCATGTTTCATAAAGCCTTTTCTTCTCTTGATTTATGTAACAGATCGGTCCTATTCTTCACCACCACATCTTCCATCCTAATTTTTGGCTGTCAAATCTCTCTTCCTTCATTTCTTCCTCTTAATTAACTACTTCAGTTTTTCCTTCCTCTTCCCTAATCATCTTCCTCTTATTATTAGATCACTAATTGCATCCATCCTCTCTCCCGCTCTCTCTCTCTCAATTAGATCACTAATTTGATTTGATCAACGCAACCAGTAAATTCTCTCCACCCTACTACACCTTCATTTCTTATCAGGTATTTTCTGTTATTCCATATTTCCCTTGTGAAACTTCTATAGCAAATCATGATCTGAATTGTGAATCCACTCTGTTCTTCACTCGAAACCAATCGAGATCCCAATGTGAAATACAATGAATGATAGCGTGGGACTTGCTAACAATTCATTATAGCAGCATTATTAATGATTTCGGTACGTAAAAATTTGTGGATCCAGAGAGAGAGTTAGGAATCAATTAATGGATCCAATGAGAAGCCAAGGAGGGATTCAGATGCTGCTCTCTGCTGAACAGGAAGCACAACAGATCGTAGCCGCTGCTAGAAACTGTAAGCCAAATCCAATCACCCACCTCTGTTAATTAGCGACATAATTATCTGATATTGCATTTATCTTCAATGTACTTCGAATCATACGTTGCAGTGAAGTTGTCGAGGTTGAAGCAAGCAAAAGACGAAGCTGAGAGGGAAGCCGCAAGATATCGCTCGCAACTGCAAGCCGACTTCCAGAAGAAAGTGTCTGAGGTTCGTGAATACGATCTCTTAGAACATTGTTACGACTTGCATGTCTTAAGCATATATGACCTAACATTTCGATGTTTGTATGTTGTTACATTTCGTTTGTGGTATAGGGAAATTCAGCTGCGACGGCAAAACAACTGGAGCAGGAAACAGTGAAGAAGATAGAGAAGCTGAAGGAGTCATCCTCCAAGGTGCAATCAGAGCTGGTTGACATGCTTGTCAAATTTGTTACCACTGTCAAGAACTGAGAAATTCCACTCTTCCTTTCTTTCTGAATCGCAAATAGGTTTGCTGCATCTCTCTTTGCTCCTTTCTTCTGGTCATTTTACCTGCTTGCTAATTACTTGTACAGTTCTTGTTTTCCCCCTATATACCTTGTTGCTTATTTACAGCTACAAATAAGACATATGGGACTGAACTTGAAGGAAGGCAAGCAGGCTTCTCTATAGCAAGCAGAATTGAAGAGAAACTGGGGGCATGGCTCTGCTTCCATTTACTCTCCCATACAATAATAATTTAGCTTGGTCTTTGTTTTTTCTATCTATTCAAGGATTTGTGCCTGAAAAATACACCAATATTGTTTGGACGTTCATTCATTCAGTCCAATTCATTCTTGACCAATTTGGTCACCCATCTATACAGTTTACAGAGAGCCACTGTCTCCCATGCTTTGGTTAAACCGTACATCAATATCTCGCGTCTGTGTTACATCACGACTCATGTATCAACGACGAAGTATATGCGAGGTTATGTTTATACATGGCGAACTTTCAATACAGTTTCTCAAACACTGGGAAAAAGTACTCATGCGCAAATGTACTTCAGTTTCAACTCCATGACTACCAACATCCCAAGGAGAAACATCATCTGCAGACCTCTATCCATAGAACCCAAAAGAACTTTGAACTGTTAAAGCTGTATGTGTTGAAAGCAATAAGGAGCTATTTACCACTGAATTTATCAGGAATAGCTACGAGCTTAAGGCAATTCAATTCTTCACATTGGCGCCAACATTCATATGGGTCTTTAGAACAAAAAGACTGCATCTTTCTGAACAACAAATCCTATATGTACAGTAAGAAAAGAACCAAAAAGCATTTTTCAACTTCCAGGCAAAATTCAACAGAAGTCAACATCGGATGGGTACCAGAAATTAACCCACTTGTCTGCCTGCCAGCCTATTGCATGGTGGGGTTAGCTTCTCTTGGCATTGTAGTTACTGTTAAGTTCCCTACGTAGACTGAATCCCTCGCCCTGTTTACCACTCAACGACCGCTTCTCCAGACAGCAGACAGTCAGTTGCCTCACTACCCTCTCGAGATATGACTGCAAGCAGCCTTGTAAGTCCTTCACGTTCGGATTCGTCAGCAACACCATGGCGTTTACTGTGTCTGCAACCGTCTCTCGCTTCGTGCCCTCTAGGAGATAGCCCACTGCTGATTGCAGTGGCTCCTCATATGCTAGCAAGGCTACTCAATCCTGCAGGAGCAAGAAACACCGTACGTGTATAACCTTTTAGATGAAGCCCTCTGCATTAAGTTCCCAAACCGAAGCAATATAACTATCACGAGGCAGCCAACTTTTTGAGGTACCCGAACAAGATCATTGTACACTGGCAACTCAAAGAACTTCGCCAATTCCATTCTTCCATAGTTTACAGCTTCCTCTAGTTCACCAACCTTAAAAGCACATTGTCAACAAAGAAAAATAGCACCAACCAATACAATCATGTAGACATATTCCATAAGTTCACAAATTGGTGCCAATCGAAACAGCAAGTAAGATCCTACCGTGGAAAAAACTGCACGTAAGAACCTCTAATGCAAATATAAAAGCACAGCTACATATATACATTTTCACGAGTCTGTAATTCTCATATTCGTAAACAAAAAAAAAAAAAAACAAGCACTGAAGTCTTGCTGACTCTACGAGGAAGATGTATTTGAAGTGTTGGGAATATCCAGATTTTGCAGAAAGAACTTACTTGGACCAATTCAATGAATTTCTGACAGTGGAGCAGAAAACAAGTTGCTGACTTGTCATCCTGAAAAAGATAGTGCGGCTGTTACGGTGAAGACTAAGACAAAACAGTATCTTAGTGTGTTCCATAAAAAGAGAGTATAAGTACCTTAAAGATCAATGATATAAAGAGGTTCATTTTGATTACTTATAGACAGAGTTTGTTCACCAACATTAAATTTAAAGGGAGTTCTTTTAATTTAATTTAATAAAACATGAAAGCTAGGTACGCTTTTTGGCCTAAGACTCTATTCACTGTATCATTTTTTGACGTTTTGTGGACGATGGCCTAAAGAGCTTCCCACGCACTTCGTCCCCCGCCCCGACCCAGCCGTAACTTCTCTGCTCCGCAGTAGCCGGCCATGCCTTCTCTTCGCCACCTTACTCCAAAATCAGCAATCCCATGCTAGACGCTACCTTTACTCAAAATCAGCAATCAGAGACCACTGTTTTAGGGCTTCGGATAGGGTGAGTAACCCTTTGTTACTCACCCGTGAGTAACCACCTAGGAACCGTTGATCTGGGGCGGACGGATCGTGTGGCTGTCATTGAAGCGGGATGGTCAGGGGCATTTTTGTCCGTTATTTGAATTAATGAGTTTCCCCTTTTGTCCGTTGCGAATCTTTCTGTGCGCGAGTTGGATTCGGATTTTGGAGAGTCTCAACTACGAGCAGGGGAGCAGCAGCTGAGAAACAAGGACGGCGATTCTCCATGGTTGATCGACGGCGATAGAAACTGCGAGCAGCAGCTTCGAATCGAGCTTTCTGATTCTCGGTCTCCATAATTGATCGACGTGTGCGCGAGTTGGATTCGGATTTTGGAGAGAGAAATTGCGAGCAGGGGAGCAGCAGCTGAGAAACAAGGACGGCGATTCTCCATGGTTGATCGACGGCGATAGAAACTGCGAACAGCAGCTTCGAATCGAGCTTTCTGATTCTCCATAATCGATCGACGTGTGCGCGAGTTGGATTCGGTTTTTGTAGAGAGAAACTGCGAGCAGCTGCTGCGAAACAGGGGACGGCGAATCTTTTGTGATTCTCCATAATTGATCGACGACGAGGTTAGATATTAGTTTTTTTGATTCTTCCTGTTTAGCTAATCGAGTTTTCTGTTGATCTCTGGTTTCGTTGGAGGTTTTTCATTGCTGCTAGTCGAGCTTGTTTATGTTTAGCTAATCGAACTTGTTCATGTGTTATGTTCTTTGTGTTTTGGTGTTTTTGTAGTATTCTGGTGAGATGAGTTACGTAAATTGTGGCGATGTTGTTCCAATTGATAGATCTGGTTCTTCAACCAGCGTTGTAGGATCTGGTTCTTCATCTAGTGCTGTTGGAATTGCTTCTTCATCTATCGATCTTGGATTTGATCATTCAGCTAACTCTGGTGAATCAGGAGGTAAGATATACAAATTTGTTTGTTTATTGAAGTTTGTATAGTGTCGTAATTTGATTTTACCATGCCTTATCATGTGGTAATTGATTTTACAGTACATTACCATGTGGTGAAATGTGGTAATTAGGAAGTTAAATGTGATGGTTCTGTGTGATAATTGATTTTACCATGCCATACCATATGGTATAGTGTGGTAATTTGATTTTACCATGCCTTATCATGTGGTAATTGATTTTACAGTACATTACCATGTGGTAAAATGTGGTAATTAGGAAGTTAAATGTGAGGATCCTGTGTGATAATTGATTTTACCATGCCATACCATATGGTATAGTGTGGTAATTTGATTTTACCATGCCTTATCATGTGGTAATTGATTTTACAGTACATTACCATGTGGTAAAATGTGGTAATTAGGAAGTTAAATGTGAGGATCCTGTGTGATAATTGATTTTACCATGCCATACCATATGGTATAGTGTGGTAATTTGATTTTACCATGCCTTATCATGTGGTAATTGATTTTACAGTACATTACCATGTGGTAAAATGTGGTAATTAGGAAGTTAAATGTGAGGGTTCTGTGTGATAATTGATTTTACCATGCCATGGCATATGGTATAGTGTGGTAATTTGATTTTACCATGCCATACCATATGGTATAGTGTGGTAATTTGATTTTACCATGCCATACCATGGTGGTAACTCTTGTATCATGGCTGTAATTATTGGTATACATTGAGATTTCATACTGTTGTGGTGTGGAATCCATTTAATATGTTGTTTCATAATGTTTGTAGGTTTCAATGGTATAGATCCTACTGTTCGTGATTCTTGGAAGGACTTAGAGTTCAATACACCAGATGATGCATATAATTTTTATGTTGATTATGGGAATCATGAAGGTTTTGGTGTGAGGATTTATAACCAATCAGCGTGTCCGAAGCTCAATGGTGGTTCTTCAGCTGTATATTATATCAAGTATTGTTGCAATAAGGAAGGTTGGAAAAGAGGTAGCGAGAATAACCCTGATAATGCAGGTGTTGTTGATACGACAGTTCGTGTTCGTAATGTTCCAGAACTCAGGGGTGGATGTAATGGTGCTTATATACGACTGAGGTGGTTTAAAGAGTTTAAATGCTACAAGATCTATCGTTGGTGTAATGTGCACAACCATGACATGATTCCTGAGTCTCTGCGTCACTATGTGAGATCCAGCAGACGAATGGCTCCTGTGTATAAGATGTTGGCAGAGGTGAATGATGCTGCTGGTATTGGTGTGACTTCTTCGTATAATGCAATTAGTAGGGCTGGTGGTGGTCGGAAGTTTGTTGGGTTCACAAAGAATGATATGAAGAATCATCTGCGAACGGTTAGGACGTTATCAATGGAGTATGGTGATGCGACTGCATTGCTTGAATACTTTAGACGTCAAGCACAGCTGGATCCTGGGTTCTTTCATGAGGTGGAGGTTGATGTTGAAGAGAACATTGCTAGTATTTTTTGGGCAGATGGGAAGATGAGGATGGATTATCATTATTTTGGTGATTCAATTAGTTTTGATACTACTTACCGGACTAACAAAGAGTATCGGCCACTAGGTATGTTTTCTAGTTTGTTGTTTATTATTGTCTTTGTTAGTTTGTATGATTATTATTATTATTATCATTATGTATCATGTTTTTTTTTTGTTCTTACAAGTCTGTACCATATGGTATGGGTTGGTATGGATTGCTTTTTTGTTCTTAAAAGTATTTTACCATATGGTATGTGTTGGTAACAAGGTTATTTGAGGTGGTTTTTGGGTTGTTAGAAGTTTGTACTATATGGTATGGGCTGGTATGCATTGTGTTTTTGTTCTTAAAAGTCTTTTACCATATGGTATGGGTTGGTAACAAGGTTATTTTGTTCTTAAAAGTCTTTTACCATATGGTATGGGTTGGTAACAAGGTTTTTTTTGTTCTTAAAAGTCTTTACCACATGGTATGAGTCTTTAGCATATGGTATGGGTTGGTATTATTGTTATTCGTACCTTTTACCACATGGTATGTGTTGGTAGAATTGTTTTTACTCACATTTTTGTTATGTTTTTGTAGCTTTGTTTGTTGGTTTCAACAATCATCACCAACTGACTGTCTTTGCGGCTGCTCTTCTATATGATGAAACAACGGCAACATTTGAATGGCTTTTCGATCAGTTTTTGAAATGCATGGGAGGTGTGAGACCGTTATCAATGTTTACTGACCAGGCTGCTGCAATTGCTGCTGGTATAAGGTCTGTTTTCCCAGATTGTTTTCATGGGTTGTGTATGGCATATTGCTCAGAATGCAGTTGTTAATCTGGGAAGTTTGTGTGACTCTGACTTCCTTCGTGAGCTTAGTTATTTGATGTATAATGCTGATGATGAGGATGATTTTGAGTATAATTGGAAGAAGATGATTGAGAAGTGTTTTCCTGGGAAGGGACCTTTGGGACACAGTTGGTTACAGGGCATTTACAAAGTCAGGACGAAGTGGTCTTCAGTCTGGGTGAATTGTCATTTTGGTGCGGGAATGAAGAGTACCCAGCTAAGTGAGTGCTGCAATAGTAATATTCGACATTACTTGCAGTCAGAGTTTAGCGTTAGTAGGTTCTTTGTGCACTTTGAGAGGATGCTTGATAATAAGAGGGATGCTGAAGAACAAGAAGAGTACTACGCCTTATCTAGGTTGGCTGATTCTCGGTTTTCTACTAGCCCTATTGTGAAGCAAGTTGCCAATGTGTATACGCCGAAGATATTCAAGTTTTTCCTGGATCAGTACAAGGAATCTCTTGCGTATAATATTTTTTCCAATACGGAGATACAAAATGGCTGGCCCAAACTTGCATCTATTTATACTGTCGGTTTTTCACTTTTTTTTTAAGGAGCTGAAAATGATAGATGCTTATTGACAGTAATACCCCTCCTGAAATTATGGGCTGCTCTGGAGTAGCTGATGTGGCAAATTTCATATGAATGCTCCTGTATATATATTTGGGTTGATGATCACTACGGGAACTATTCACAATGACAAGATGAACTGCCACAACTAATAATTCAGACCAATAAAACTACATAAAAATAAAGGTGACAGTGATCAAACAATTTAGTACATGTCTAAGCTCTCTTCTCCGATTTAATGCATACATTATGTCTTGCACATCAGAGCCATTTTCCTGAGACATGGATATCGGAGGAACTGTATTCTCAGTAGCCAACTCAAATAAATTGAGAGTTTCTTCATATCCATAATGCAGCAAGTACGACCAGACGAGTCTGCTCAAAAAATTACAAATAACAATGATGTACTAGCCTGGAAAATCAGGCCAAAGCATTTTCTTTCAAACAAGAATAAAATAATTTCCTTAAAATGAATCAATTATCCAGAATGTAATTGGACATATATCTAGAAGCAGTTATCTCAATAAACATGGAAGCCTGCTTTATCTATTATCAGATCGCAAGTCGAATGTCACAACGAGTTGGAATAAGTTTTCCTCTTGTGAATGGAAGAACTTAACAGGGAAAATCACGACCCTTTAAGCTCAAATAAATGCACTCCTTGCCAGAAGTGATTCCCTTTTCTCCAGACTTCACAGCAATAGCAGTTGTTTTGATAATGTGAAGTGAACTTACTTGTAGCTGGCATTTGACGACAAAGGTGTTTTATCAATTCTCAGGTGTTGCTTCATCCTTTCCCGTCTTTCATATTCCTAATAAAACGGAAACAAGGGTAAGAAAGGCAATATCTTAACCAGCAATCGCCCCTAGAAAGGAAAATCCAACAAAGTACAATGATTTGAATGCTAAGAGCTTCAACTAAACACCAGAAAATTCGGGAATAATTATCAAATACTTACCTCGTTTGTCCAAACAGAGTCGATACGATGTTGGCCATGCCCCCAAAGAAGTGTCGGATCGACCGGACCTGGATCAATTGTCGTCGGCGGTAATCTCATCGAATAAGGATCCATAAGCCTAGGAACTGCAAAAACAAAGCAACCAAACATTAAAAAAAACACTAAACATTAAAAAAAAATCCAAGCCGCCGGCGAGAGTCTCACCGCGCAAACGGCTGCCGACTCCACCACGACCTCGCCGGCCTCTCCCCCTGGCTCTGCCGGCGACTGGTTCTTCGTCGGAGGACATCTCTGTCGGGTGGTGGCGCTTCTGTCAGCAGCGGCGGCGCTTCACTCGGCAGCGGCGGCGCCTGTCTCTGCGGCGTCGGCGCCTCGGTGCTGGACGGCAACGCTTGAGTCCACGGCGGCAGGGCCTAAGACGGTGGAGTGTGTGAGGGTGGCTGCTCTGATTCGGGGGGGGGGGGGGTGGTGGAGGAGGGAAGAAGAAGAAGAGATAAGAGGGGCCCTAGGGTTCGTCGATTTTAAAAAAAAAAGAGGGTGAGGCGGGGGCGCTGGAGACTCGGGCACCAGCTCCTAGAACTGGGTAAAAAAAAGGGTGAGACGGGGGCGCTGGAGACTTGGGCGCCAGCGCCCAGAACTAGGTAATATATTTAGAAACCGCGGCCCCGCCTTAGTCTCTGGTGGTCCCGCCCCAAACTTTACTACAAAACACAACATTTGTGTCAATTCTTTTTAATCCGCAATATTTGTGGCAAGTTAAAAAAAAAAACACAATATTAGTGTCATCAACCCCCTCATTTGCACCCTTCTTAAATTTACTCCCTCCAACAATTTGCACCTCTATAAGTACTCTCCTCGAATTTGCGCCCCTCGTTGCCAAACACAACGTATATGTTGGATATAAGTACGACATGTTATTTTGGTGAAATATTATATGTTATAACTCATGATGAGATTTGATATAATTTATCAGAATATGTACAATATAATAACTATTTCCATATTTTTTAGTTAAACCGGGATAAAATGGGTGATCCATTAACTTTACCCACTAATTCGACCGAGTCCGGATAAGCCCGCGGGTTGACTACCTTGCTCTCGACTAACTTCCGCGCTGCTGCTCTCTCCAAGACTCCACCTCCTGTCTCCATCCGAGTGACCGACGGAGAGAAGTTTGTTGGCGCCGGCTTGCCGCTTCCCGTAGATTAGCGGCGAGCCACCTGTTGTTCTCCAACTTCCCATCCTCTGCCTCTTCTCCAACTCGGCCCAGCGGCGGTGAGGTGACCACGACCAGAGGTTAGTCTTTATTATAGCTTTTGAGTTTTGAGTTCTGACCGGTAGGTAATAAACCAAAACCGTCACTTAAACACTCGGTTGAACCGCGAGCGCTAAACGAACCAGTGCTAGCCCTAAACCCCTGCTAGAGTCTCGAAGCTTTTGAAACCAGCCTTGTCCCCCGAGTCTTCCATTCGCCGGCTTTCCGAGTTTCCCGCCGCCTTCATCCCCTCTGTTTCCCTTCGCGCAGCCGTCCCGTCGCTACCGTGCATCACCGTCACCGCCTCCTTCCGGCCAGCAAAGCGTGAGTCTTTGGGTCTTATAGAACTGTACTTACGTGTAACTGCTAGACTGCGGTCAAAACTTTACTTCTAGAACCAGCTATAGCCTCTTTGTTTACCTGATTCTTCACCTCTGGTTGGTGCTTTTCCTTGTTTTATATTTTTCGGGCCTAACTTCATTGTGTAGGCTTGGGGCAGAAACGTTTTATAATCTTTCGGATTGATATACTCTTTGTACGTGTGTGTGTGGATTCAGTTTCTGCTACTAATTCAATAGAATTAGAAATTCTCTTATCTGTCTCTGATTGTTGTTTCTGTTTCGTGTGATCCATGATCTTCTGGTTTCACTAACCATGTTCCTTTTCGCTGTTAAAGAAATATATTGTTTTCAAATATCCATATAAAAGTCTGCACAGTGTGCAATCTCCTGCTTTAACGTTTTGGTATCTTGAAAATTTAGGTTATACATATGGGTTCCTCTCGGAAGAAGATGAGAAAATCTAGAGACAGTGACGATGAGCTGGAAGACCAGGACGATATGCAGAATCAAGATTTAATGGTTGGCAATGTCTTGGTTTAATGTTTTGACTGATTGTGTTAGACATTTTTATGATTGTTTATTTATGATGATCTCGGGATGCAGATGGAAGGACTAGATAGGGATTTTGATGATGCGGAAGAGGATGGGGAAGATGAAGATATGGAGAGGCAAGATGGAGATGAGGAGGAAGCTGATGAAGAGCAAGATGACATTGAAAGCGAAGAAATGGGCTCAAGCGAAGAGGAAGGGGTAGGTGAAGAGGCTGGGGAAATACAAAATGACTATCACAAAGATGATGAGTTGGAAGATCTTGAGAAGGAGCGCAAGGACATCCAAAATCAAGAACTGTAAGTTAGAGTTTGGTTGTTTTGCTGATTAGATAACTTGGTAGTATGAAGAGATACTTTGAGGCTCAGGGGAAGGATTAAATGAATGATATTGCATGTGAAATTGATGCCTGGACACTTGAATGTGCCACTTCAAGTGAAATCTCATAAGATCAGAACCGTTGAGCCTCTTTGGTTATTACCAGAGTCCGTTATGAATTGGAAACCTATGCCAAGACTTGCCTTCCATGGAAAAGGTGGAGCTTGTGACTTGTCTGATGTCTCCAGGTTGATTTTCTATTAATGAATTGATACTCTTTGAATCTCCTTTCCATTTAAAATATCAAGAAGCTCATAGATACTGATCCAAGCTGACTGGTGCCGGTTACTATGCCTCATAAAAGAATACATTTTTATCTATTTTGTCTGTTAGCGACTATGGCCTGGCATTCGTTGGTCGGAAATTGTGTAGATTGCTATTCTTCATACTAGCAGGGTGTCTTCTAATAGTTTCCCCCTTCTTGTTTCATTTATTGACAAGCTGACCTTGTGTCGTCATACAGGGACTTGCTAAAGAACCTGAAACGCCATAAAGAAGAGGATGTTCTTAAAGGCCAGGCGGTGAAGAACCAGAAGGTGAATTTAGTTACGTTCTGTTATATGTTCATTCTAAAACTGACTAGTCTGCTGCCAGATGCTCATATCTTCCTTCCTTTTTTGAAAGACTATCTGGAACAGGGGTCTTGAACTGAGGATGTTACTTCAGAAAGCATTCCCGTGCTCAAATAGGCTTCCATTGGTATGTTCTATTTACCTTTGTCATCGCTCATTGGCATTTCACAGTGGTATGGTAATGTACGGACGTGTCTGCAGGAACCGGTTCGGTCTACATTTTGCAACTCTGAGGAAGAAGTGAGAGTAGCTTATGATGACCTCATTTCATCATCCAAAAAGACTTTTGAATCCCTTGTTGAACTGCAAGAGGTCTGTCTGTAATGGAAAATATGTTTTTCCTTTGTTGCAATTATTGAATAATCCTCATACTGTTATATTTCTGCAAATTACCCTCTATTCTTGTTTTTTTTTTTTTTTTTTTTTTTTTGTTATTTGCAGGCTTTACTCGAAAAGAATCCTTCTGTTTCTCAATCATCTAATGGTAAGTTAGTAGTTTGTCCACATCCTGAAATTCTACATGCTATTGGAGCCTAATTGATTTCTCTCTTTAATTATCCGAAGGTAATATTGGGAAGCCTGTAAAGAAACAGTTAGATGACTCCAAGTCCTTGAGTGATGAAGATGAAGAATGGTCTAAAATTTCACAAATGCATACAAGGTATAGCAGTACCTTTCAGGTCTTTCATAGTCATTAATGCTTAACCTTGTTGTTTCTGAGGTATCTCGTGGACAACCCGTCTCTTACTTCAAAGATGATCTATACAGAGTACATCACTCATGCCCTGGATGAGAACTTTCAGTTTTCTTGAATGCTACCTTTGTTTCTTTTTCTGTAATGGAAATAACTCAGCAAATTAAATCAAATGAGCTTCAAAGAACCTCATAGTCGCGTTCATCGAAGCTCATTAGTTCCCCTTAGCAATTGGAATATCTAGAATCTCTTTACAGTTCGATTCATCCAACATGGATTACATTCCAAAACTCTTTTAAGTTAGCTATTAGGCAGTGAAAATTTAATGGCTTTCGAGGTTTGAGTTTTGTTTCTGCACATGGATGGACTTCCAAATACTTTTTGCCTGATCGGACTTGTGTGTGTTGGAGTTGCATCCAGTTTTCTGTTAACTTGAGCATGAAAATGATGGTCCTGTGAGATCGTTCATTTATCCATTTAAAAGGAACTTATATCCTTCTGTCTTGTAGGGTAGCTCCATTTAGAAATAAATCCATAGACAAGTGGCAGAGGAAGACAGAAGTTACAACTGGGGTAGCAGCTATTAGAAACAAGTTGCAAGCTTTCAATCAGGTTGGAATTTTTTTTTCAGTTATTACAAGTAAGCTTTCTGTGTGTGGTTTGTAGGGGAACTCACTGGTTGTTCTTTTCCGCTCACAGAATATCAGTGAACAAGTTTCTGCATATATGAGGGATCCAAGCAGAATGGTTAAGCAAATGCAGTTGAGAAAGTCTGATGTTAACGTCTTTGGGCCTGTAAGTTGTTTTACAGCTTCTTGTTTTGTTTTTCTGTTTCTGCTGAGCAGACTGGTCACATTCTGTTCTATACTTGGTTTATGAATGGGCAGGTTCCGGAGCAAGCAGGCAATCGTGATGGCAAGGTAATTATTATCACTTTATCGAACACGATTGATCACAATATTCAAAGGGGCGTTCATTCATCATTACACTGTCGAGTTAACTTATTGAATTTTTTTGTAGGCTACACTTCCTGATGGTGAGCTGGCTCCAGATAAGGCAAGCAGTACTAATGGCAAGGTAATTGTCATCACCTTACTGGACATGATTGATCACAGAATGCAAAGAGGCGTTCATTCATCATTACACTGTCGTGTTGACTAAATCAATTTTTTATATAGGAAACGCATCCTGATGGTGACCCCGAGCTTCTTGATGATACTGAGTTTTACAAACAACTACTGAAAGAATTCTTTGAGGCACTTGACCCAAACTCAAGTGGTTAGTATTATGTCCATCCTCCCGAGTTTCTATCGTTGCGTGTGTATTATTACCAATCATCTTTACGACTTAGGTCATACTTTCTTATGAATTAGGAGACTGGTTTTGCCAATGCAAATATATCTTCCTTGCTTGCACAACTTTTTAACTCGTGACTTTAGACTGAGCTGTTATCCTTTATATTGATTTCCACCAGAGATGGCATTTTATGCTGTAAAAAGGGTTCAGACTAAGAAGAGGAAGGAGGTAGAGCGACGTGCCTCAAAGTCCCGCAAGATCAGGTAGGAAACTGAAAGAAGCATGCAAGTTCGGATTCATATCTGTAGGGTGAGTCCTCGGACATGAATAACAAGTTACTTCCCGGTTTTGTAGGTACAATGTACACGAAAAGATAGTCAATTTCATGGCTAAACGGCCGGAGGATATTCCAGATATGGCCCCTAAACTGTTTGAGAATTTGTTTGGTCTCAAGACCCAGAACCGTTGAATTATGGTCGGTTTCTACCGTATACACCAGATATGTACGGGATGCACAGCTCCATCGCTTCGAAAATTTTGATTCCATTAGCCCTTGCTCAGATTATTCTCTTATCGACTTATATTGCGAAATTGCAGGGACTGTAACTTGTAATGTGGCATGATCTCTAAAGATGGCATAACGTTATTGTATAATTAGGGAACATGAGACAATGTTACTATTCGTTCAATTTACTTGTTATGCATGTTTGGTTTGATGGGTTGCTTGACGGCGAATGAGAATGAAGAGGAGGGTTTCGTGTATGGTTTGAGTCGTGAGATTGAGTGACAAAACCCTACATCTGGGGACAGGAAAATCTAGTGTTTCCTTGGCGATACTTTTCTGCTCATTTCACCCTCTGTTGATAACAGGAATCAATAAGAAAATGAATCAAAGAAAAGAAGACATGGTAACGTGACAGATCATACTGAGAATTCATGTTAACGAAAGTTAAAACCGCGGCAAATGCCTGCAGCCTGCCTTTGCCATACTTGTTCATCTTTGCTGGATTCTGTCTCTCCCCTGACAGCAACAATGGCCTTGCCTCTCAATAAAATACTCCATGAAACGAGTTGAAGGATATCCCATCAGCAGATTCTCTGCCCTGCTACTGGTTTTGGTTCCCCAAAGTTATTAATGGCTCATGTGTTCATTATTCAACGAAGTTGCAAATTGCGTGATGCCTCAACTATTAGCGGTAGTATATATATTTTTTTCATATCTAGTTGTTTTCTCCTTTTCCTTTTGTGATTTGGCTTGCAAAGGACTTATATATACTTTCATATCTAGCCGGTCCTTTGGGAATATCTATCGCAAAAGAAAAACGATTAGGTGCTTCCTCCACTGTTAGGAATAGCAGGCACACGATTGTATTGGAAGATTGAATCTGATAAGGAATCAATGTGGAACGAAGCATAAATTCGGGTTATGGACAACAATTATGACGACACTTCATCAATCAAAGTACCAAGCCTCGAGAAGTTACGCAGCTTTTTTTCTTGTTTTAGTTTAACGAGTTCTTTCGGTCGAGATGATATGTTGTGGAGGCCGAGATCTTGCTTTGTTTAGATGCTAGATCTGTTAACTAGATTTTTGTAATAGAATTCGCTACACTATAGACGTTGAAGGGCTAAATTTCAAAATATAGCAATACATTTATTCTTAACATATGAATTAAACCGGTAATAGATATGGTTATTGGAATAACGTAATGTTACCGACCTGGCGAAAATACAACAAACTCAATCATTAGCTTTTGAACATAGACCCAACAGAAATGTCCTAGGCATGGCGGATATAGGCATTAATAAATTGATAAATGCTAAGTTAAGATAATCCAAAATACATACAACACTATTATTGTGGAAGAGAACTATCCAAGTTGACCTCATTATGATCGCTTGATTGTTTATGTTTATATACAATATTATTGTACAAAAGAGGCAGAGCACTACTATAATAAATGGTGTGAGGCCTAAAACTAGGATGACCACAAAATAAGATGATAATCCTAACAACAAATTGTAATGGAAGAAAATTCTCTCTATTGTAAGAATGAGTAATTAGCTAAACTCGTACTCTATCCTATTGTTATATTTCAAAGTGAATATTACCCTAATGAATTAGCAACCATCATCACCAGAAATTGATGGGGTACAGAAGTATACCCTCGAACCGGTTCAAGTCATTTTGTTTGTGAATGTGATTCTTGCATCATGCAAAAAGAATTGGGTAAATACACATTTTGTTATTGAAATTACTAAATCGTATCATGTTTAGTCACTAGAAAAATTTAATAACAATTTTGGTTACTAGAATTACTGAAACTGGTCATATTTAGTCACTCTCCCGTGAAGTTGGACGGAAACTAACGGGAGAGTGACTAAATGTGACATGTTTCAGTAATTCGAGTGACTAAATGTGACATGTTTCAATAATTCGAGTGTCCGGAGTTGGACAGGAGCTACAAAAGAGTGACTATATGTGACATGTTTCAATAATTCGTGTGACCAAAATTTATAATAAATTTTTTCTAGTGATTAAATATGATACTATTTAGTAATCTCGGTCACCAAATGTGGCATTTACCTAAAAAAAATTCCAGACTAATTGAGAAAAATAAAAATAAAAAAACTTTTATTTTTATTTATTGAAAAGGCCAAATGTGACCCTACAATACAAAAAAAAATGCCAGCAAGGCAGTGCCTCCGTGTACGGTGTACACCAACTACTTCTCTCTCTTTCTCTTTTCAAAAGGAGAGGATCACACCGTTTGCCAGCTCACTCCGTCCCGTTTCCCTCTCACGACGTCATCGCTGACGCCGACGACGGACGGTGACCTGACTGACGCCTTCGGCCTTTCTCAATCCGAGTGAGTTACATAAATATTCTCTCCGTTACCGTCTATATCTTACGTTATCTTGAAAAGCCCAAACACGGCTAGGCCCAATGTCTGGCCCAATTTCTCTCTCTCTCTCCCCTTCTTTTTCTCAAAAGGAAAATCTTTTCGCTTCCTCCATTTCTCTCCGTCTTCCTCTCTCTCTCTCTCTCTCTCTCTCTCTCTCTCATAAGTCTCCTCTTCCAGCTGCTTGCTCGAAGGTTTCTCTCACTAGAATTCATGTCGGTATGTTAGCTTCTTCTCTTTCTCTGCCTCTGTTTTTTTTTTTTTTGCTTGCCTGTATTACTACTCTATTCGCGCTGTAAAGTTCCTAACTTTTTTTGGGACCCTTTTGAGCTTTTTTCTTCCTAGTTTGCTTATGATTTCCAATTGATTCGAACTGGATATTTATTTTGACGCTATTTTGGCATCTGCTGCTGATGTGCAATGAAAGCTTTTATATTGGGCTTTGCTGTTTGGCTGCTGAATTATGTGAATTCGATCCTCGGGGGTGGCTTATTGTTTCTGCTTCTGGGTGGTGTGCTGCCGATCAGTTTTGTTTACTTGAATTTCGGGAATATTCGTGGTTTCCCCTTTCTTTCGATGTTTATTTGCTTTTTTTTTTTTTTCAAAATGGTGAAGGAACTGCTCATCTGATTCGATTTGGACTTGGAGAATCCTGGGCTTCCGATTTTTCATTGCTTCAGCTTTCCAATTCAGCTACCAATTTTTTTTCTTTTTTGCATTTGATTGCTTCTTTCGTGTCGGCTTCTCCAATCCTAGCTCAAGGGCTCTGATTTTTAGTTTCTGTAGTTTGCAAGGTGGGGCAGGAACTGTTCGTTCTATTTGTTTGTTTTGCCTTCCTTGCTAGACTTGGAGCACAGAAAGTCAGGTGTGAGAAATGGGAAAGTTTGAGAGTGAGGTGAAGTTGCTGTCTCGATTATACATATTGATTCAATGTTGAGCTTTGTTAATTGAGTTAGCTAATGTAGTTCTGAAGATATGGCCTTCTCTAGTTTAGTTACCGTGAACCTTTAGTTTTGAAGAAGAACTGCATGACTTTGCATAACATGTAACTTCTAGATGTTTTTAGTCATCTACATGATGTGGTTTTGGGTTAGTTTGGTATCCCGTTTGATAAACATTCTTATGGCTCCAGAAGCTCAATCTCTATGTTAAAAGAAAGAAAAACCATGTCAACTTTTGTTTTTTCTTCATTACGTTGTTTGAATGCTTCTGTGCTTTCGTAAACTTTATGAGTCTCTTGGTGGGAGTTTCTTACTTTTTTTATGTCTTTCTAACAGGACGGAGGTAGGCCATTGCCGAAATTCGGGGAATGGGATGTTAATGATCCTGCTTCAGCCGAGGGATTTACTGTGATCTTTAACAAGGCTAGGGATGAGAAGAAAACCGGTGGGAAACCCGATTCGCCAGGAGGAAAGGGCGATTCTCATACTAAGGCTCCAATGGAGCATGGAAAGCCTCCTGGTGTAAGTAGTTTGATTTTTCCTCCTGCCCCATGTCTGTCTCCTATACTTTTATCCTAGCAATAGATACTACCAAAGTGCACGCACAGATGGCCAAAATCTATGTAGTTGAACAAGGTGTGGCCTTTTGTTTTAATCGAAGGTTGAATCTCTTGTCAGAGTGTAGAGATGAGCATTTAATTTGTATGCTTGGCATTGCAGCACCTCTCCTAGTGTGCTTCTTGTAGGGATGGCCGTTTTGACCTGCACAATTCTGTCCCACCCAGGGAGCAACCTGAGGTGGGGCAGGGTCTTACTCCACGTCCCAGCCCAACCTGCTTCGTCTCAATTCTCTCTAATACTTAATCATATTCTCAGTCAATTATATATTCAAATAGATTTGAGATGTTGTATATGTTTTATCCTAATCCCATGTTAGAATGGGTCTCCCTGCCCCGACCGTGTCTTGCCTGTGGATACCATGGGGCAGGTATGTAGGGATTCAGATAAGTACCACCCGTTGTGATTCCTAGTTTTCTACTTCTAAGGGTGTCACAAATGAATGCTTTTCAGGTGCTCCATTAACGATTCTGCCCTGTGATTTTCTTATCTAATATTTGTGTTGTCTCTTGGTGGTGATTTTCAGAAGAAATGGTTCTGCTGCATCCAAAGTTCAGCCGCGGAAGCTTGACAAATTTATTGGCTGCAGAAGAAGAAGCTGCTTCATGGAACTGTTATGTCGTCCCACCATATAAATGTTTTTTCAAGAAGATGATAGGGGAGCTGTAGAGCGGGTGATGAATCCTCCTGGAGTTCGTTGTTCTTTTTCTTTTCTTCGTTTGGGTGTTGTGAAAACTGCGGGTTTTGGTGTGGGCAAAAGAAAAATGATTTGAAATGCAAAGGTCATTTGTATCTTGTAAAGATGCACTTTATATATATGGTCATCCAATCTGTTATTTCCATTTTCCTCATGCTATGAGCTTGTAGAGGGCTTTTGTGATATCTGCCCCTCATTCATTCTTCTGTACTGGGGTCAATTGGTTTTCGTTGCAATATATAACCTTATTCTTTCCAGGTTACTCTTTTGGCCACCTAAAAGACTCTGGTCTTGTTCAAATTCAAACAGATTTCTGTGGAAGAATGATGGTTTTGTGACTGTGCTACTGTATTGTAGTTATGCATCTGAAATGATATTTAGTGCTACAAAGGTGATTTTAATTGGTAGCATATGATTGTTCGGACAATCGGTTTTGCTTACTCGAACCGGCCAGCACGAGTATTTCATAATATTTGTGTATCATATCAACCTAGTTCGTGATGACTTGTGTTTTGGGCAAACGGCCAGCACAGTTTGATCACTTCACGACTAGTGTCAGATATCTCATCATGCTTCTGGTGAAACACGGAAAGGACTTGGACTCAGATCAACGAAAGATAACAGCTTTATTCGGTTTATTTTAAGGTAAGAGGTTAAAGGAAGCAATTTTAATGTCATTTCCAGTATAACTTAAGATTGTGTCAAATTGTTCTACTAGTGTACAAAGTCTTGTTCTTCTCGCTAAGCAATGCAACAGGAAGTCCAACAACAAGCTGAGTAACTAGGGCATATATCCAAATGAATTTCATGTCGGCAATCACCTAGACCCTAGAGACGCCCAACTTTCGTTCGAAGAGGCGTCGAAGAAGAAACACTTGAAGAATACTGGCTCCGACGAGTGCCGCTGACTCAAAAAATGCCTTCTGAACAGCCCTTCGCCCCATTGCATCATTTACTGCGTCCAAAATAGAATCAATTTAGCAACTATCAAAATACAAGACGACGAGTTGTTCGAAACATAGTGAGAATCCAATTCAAAGGCAAAAGGGCGAGTAGCCTTTTGAGCCTCGAGGAAATCCCCATCCTTGTGGTCGACGGTTTACCAGCAATTTCATAAGGGGTCCTTATTGGTACATCAACCATTTTAACAATTACTCTACTCAACAATTTTAAGCTATCTACATCCTTGCAATTCATTTGCAATTTAAAAAATGAAAATTATTGAAACCGGTACGATATTTTTATATTAGGTACTAAACATGACTAGAAAATAACCAAAGTAATGTCATGACTAATGTGGCGCCATTGCTAATTGCAATGCCACCTAGGTGCTGCATTGCCTGTAGCAATCGTAAGAGAGAGAGAGAGAGAGGTCGAGGGCTATTCTTACTTAAAGCTTGGCGTTCGGTCTGTGCTTCTAGCCAATGCTGCTCGAATTGGATGTTGTACAGTGCATCCTCCAACCTCGATATCTCGTCTATCAGAGGCTTCAAATGCTCTAGACATTCAAAATGTGGGGAGTGAGAATCTTCACCCTACCATACTTGAAATAGAAGACACAAAAACAAGGGGGATAAAGATGCTTTACCATCCTTTGCATGCTCCTCATAGTACGAGAAGTGGGCTACATGAATATCAAAGTCTATAGTCTCATGGTAGGGAGACTTATTTGTGAAGCAAAAGCGATAGACTCCTTTCTGACGAGCCACAAACTCGTGTTTATCGCTGATTTTGTCACGAAAATCATGCATCTGCTCACCATTAGGCCCCTTGATCTGTGCAACATGACAAAATAGGGAGTTACAGCTTCAATACCCTACAAAGAGCTGTATATAGAAAAGAAGACAAGCTCTTGTCCTAGTCCATCTCTACAGCATAGGCATATAAAAAAATTGCTACTGCTAATAGCTACTTCATGTATTTTCCACTTTTGAGCCTCGGAAAATCTAGCACCTCAATATGGAGAGAGCAAAATGGCAAAGCAGAATCTAAAGAGGGAAATCAAGGTAACAGGTTAAGATGCAACAAAATGACAATCGAAATTGTGTTCCTCTAAAAACCGCATAACCATATATTGTATATCCCATATCTCTCTAAAGCGCAAGCGAAAGCCAGAGCGAGCAGAGATCAGAGAGGGCCCGAAGGTCTCTCATACACAGATGGCACAAAAAGACTTCAAACCATTCTTCTATACATTCCCTAAATATGCCAAAACCAACAGGGAAGAAAGACGATGCCCATCGATAAGAACGATCCTAATATCCATGCAACATTGCTCATTACGAGCACTCATGCTATTTCTAGATAAACAAAGAAGCAGAGCATAGCAAAAAGGGAGAGCCTTACCACAAGATCAATTCCATCGTCGCTGTTACGCCAAGACGAATCAGACTTGATCACGACGAAGGAAACATGGACTGTGTCTCCATCGTACTTAACATCATGAGAGAAGCATTCTTCTCTATCAATCACAAATCTGATCCCAAACACCACTTGGGGGATCAAACACAGAGCCACAAGAACAACAACGAGAGCTCCCCTCATCCCTATTATCCCCATCTGCATATCACACAGCACATAGGGTTCTAAGCAGATGCATGATCTTGGCCGAAACATAAACTGCATGCAACGAATTGAACATAAACGTTCTTCGAGAAACCGAAATAACAGAAAGGAAGTCAAATTACAATAATCCAACACAAACGTATTCACAGAATTCTGCTCAAACAATTGAAAGTTTCAAACTCCCCCCCCCCCCCCCCCCCCCCCCCCCCCCCCGAAAATCATAAAAGGAAATGGGTTTTGCTTGGGAAGTCAAATTCCAAGAATCCGACAGAACCCCATTCATAGACGTCAGCTGAAACAATCGAAAGTATCAACCTTTTCGGGGTAAAAAATCACAAACTGCATGGGTTTTGCAGAGATCTACGTTTCCTGACCCTGGATTCTGGTTGCTCTTATCCCTCCCCGTTCCATAAATAGGGAGAGAAAGAAGAATCAATCGTCAAAGTAATTTCAACGAAGAAATGGAATTGACAAGAAAAATTATCTGAATCGAGAATGAAATGAGGGATTCTTATCGGTTTACCTTAGAATAATTTTCCGGGATTCGATCAGCGGGGTTTCTTTCGGAATCTACCCCTTCGAACTATTTATCGGAGAAACAAAACCCAAACAGCAACAAAATGAAGAGTACGAGATCCTCGACGAGTTTCAGTTCTGGAAAGAGGCTTCGGTCGTGTCAGTCTCGCCGTACTTGGCTGCGATCCCGTGTGCTAATGTACGAGTCCGGATCTGGTGACTAAGGGGGGGCTTAGCCACTTGGCTAAGCCCCTCCTAGTCATTGGATGTAGAAGGATTAATCTAACGGTGAAAATTAGGAAAGAGATTTTTAAATACTGGGAGGGGCAATTCTGGCATAAAAAAAATTTATTAATTGGTTTTCCTTTTTATTCTGGGAAGGGAAAAAAATTGTCCGAAGCTTTTCCTCCCGCGAACGGCGAGGGAGATTCTCGGCGTCCAAACCTCCAGCGAGCGAAGGCGATTCCGGCGATCGGCGGAGCGATTTTCCTCCCGCGATCGGCGAGGCGATTCCAGCGATAGGCGAAGGAGATTCCGGCGATTGGCGGCGAGGCGATTCTGGCGATCGGCGGAGCAATTTTCCTCCCGCGATCGGCGAGGCGATTCCAGCGATAGGCAAAGGAGATTCCGGCGATTGGCGGCGAGGCGATTTCTGGCGATTGGCGAGGCAATTTTCCTCCTGCGATCGACGACGGCGAGTTGCACTCTCCTCCAGCCAACGGCGAACGCGTTTTTCCAGCCAACGGCGACGCGTTTTTCTTTGCATGATGGATTCTGCTCCTATAACAATGGATGAAGTGGTTGATGGAGCTAATGAACAAAAAACGGGAGAAACTGGAACTGAAACAGCAATGGATGTAGATATTCAGGAAACAACAGTACAACGTGAAATCGGTATGAAATCTTGTCTGATGTTTGTAATGATTCTGGTTACATTTTGTATTCTTAGTATGTTTTTCTTTGGATGTTTGTATACTTAGTATGTTTTTCTGCTCTGTTCTGTACATTTTGTATTGTAAGTCTTCATATATGATGATTGTTATGTTTGTACAAATAGTGCAAACAGTACAAACGTATGGTTTATGCAGTTTGTACGAAATACCGTATGGCTTTATAGCTTTAGTGCATCAGTTTGTATGGTTTAATTATGTTTGTAATGTTAGTATTGTTGTGTCATTTGTTGCTGTTTGTGTTTTTAGTATGTTTTTCTGTTACATATTGTAATTTTAGTATGGTTTTCTTTGACAGCTTGTATTCTTAGTACGTTTTTCTGTTGCTGTTTGTACTCTTAGTATGGTTTTCTGTTGCTGTTTGTATTCTTAGTATGTTTTTCTTTGACAGTTTGTACTCTTAGTATGTTTTTCTGTTGATGTTTGTACTCTTAGACTAACTCCAACCCAAAAGGTTATATTTAGCCTCTCAAGCTCTCAAATGTGCATTTTTACCTTCCAAAAACACTTTTTGCTCCAACCCTAAACCTTCTAAATTTGCCTTCCAACTCATAACCAACCAATCAAAAATTAAGAAAGTAAAAAAAAAAAAAAAAGATGCTTTAAAGTGGAGGGCCCCAGCGTGTGGGCTTGGGTTCCATGGTTGGTCCCCCCACCTTCTCCTTGCATATTTCCATATGAGCTTCTATCTATCCACCCCCAAGCCCACTTCTCCAAATTTGCAAGCCAAATAATTGGTGGGTTGGAGATGAAAAAGCCAAAAACCTCACTTTCTCCAAATTTGCATGCTTGGGTTGGAGACAGTCTTAGTATGGTTTTCTGTTGCTGTTTGTATTCTTAGTATGTTTTTCTTTGACAGTTTGTACTCTTAGTATGTTTTTTTTGACAGTTTGTATTCTTAGTATGTTTTTCTGCTCTGTGCTGTTTCTGCAGATGATGAGATCAAAATAATACCAAGCAATGAAGAAACGTGGATGAACCTTCGCTTTGACACAAAAGATCATGGATTGCTGTGGTACAAATGCTATGCACATGATAAGGGATTTTCTGTTAGAGAAACAGGAGGGGTTAAGAGAACAAACAATAACAAACCGTGTGAAGTTGTAAGATATTTTGGGGGCAGATGCAATAAGGAAGGTTGGCAAAAAGGTAGTACAAATAATCCAGCAAATGACAACCATGTTGACCAACAACCTAGAAGCAGAATCAGAAAAGAGGATAGATGGGATTGCAAAGCAGTGATACGCTTCCAGCTTGAAGATAGTTCCCAAAAATACTACATTTCAAGCTGGTTAGATGAGCATAATCACAAGATGATCCCACCATCATCAAGACAATTCATGAGATCAAATAGAACGATGAATGAAGTGCAAAAGTTCTTGATTGACATGTATCACAAAGCTGGAATATCGATACAATCATCATTTCAAGCATTATGCTTGGCTGCCGGAGGAAGAGAAAATGTTGGTTTCACACAAATGGACCACAAGAATTATATCCGTACTAAAAGGTGGGTTTTGCACATTTTATAAGCTTTTTGGATCTGTTTTATATTGTTTATACTATTTGATTTCTGTACTTTTTATGTTTTGGTAATATTCTTTGTACTGTTTGTATACTTTGTATGTTTTGTCTAATCCTTTGGACTGTTTGTATACTTGGGGACTAAAAGGCAAAAAAACAATGAAGTTTGGGGAGGCAACAATGATTTATCATCATTTCAAAAGTGAAGCTTCAATGGACCCAGCTTTCTTTTATGAGATCCAAGTTGACATCAATGAAGAAATTGCAAGTATTTTCTGGGCGGATGGACGCATGAGAATGGACTATTTCTATTTTGGTGACACCATCAGCTTTGACACAACATACCGCACCAACAAGAATGATCGCCCATTAGGTACTACAATTTTTTTAATTTTCACTAACATGTATGTTTGTAATGATTTTCTTCCATATTTGTCATGATTCTGTTGCTGTTTGTCTTCTTTGTATGTTTTCTGTTGTTGTTTGTATTCTTAGTATGTTTTTCTGTTACAGTTTGTATTCTTTGTATGTTTTCTGTTGCTGTTTGTATTCTTAGTATGTTTTTCTGTTAAAGTTTGTACTCTTAGTATGTTTTTCTTTGACAGTTTGTATTCTTAGTATGTTTTTGCAATATGTCAGTTTTGTTAAACCTCATTAATAATTTTAAACAAAATTTTCATTTCAGCTTTATTTGTGGGCTTCAATAACTATAGAGAAACATGTGTTTTTGGTGATGCCCTACTCTATGATGAGACATCAGCCACATTTGATTGGCTCTTCAAACAATTTATCATTTGCATGAACGGGAAGGAACCAAGAGCTGTTTTTACCGATCAAGCGGCAGCAATTGCTGCTGGTATTAGGACAGCATTGTCTCGCACTTATCATGGGTTGTGCACATTCCATATAACAATGAATGCAAAGAGTAATGGGTTGTGGTGGTCACCATTTTTGGAAGGGCTTTCCTTCTTGATGTATGATTTGGAGACGGAGGATGAATTCGATTATTATTGGAAGAAGATGCTTGAGAATTGCTTCAATGAAGAAGAAGAAGAAGAAGAAGAAGAAGGGAAGAAATTAACAAGTAAGATTGAGGCATGGCTGCAAAACCTCCACAAAGTGAGAAGTAAATGGTCATCGGCATGGCCGAAAGATCATTTTGCATGTGGAATGAGAAGCTCACAACTCAGCGAGAGTTGCAACAGCCATTTGCGTAAGTATCTCCAGTCAAAACTTACTTTGTGGGAGTTTTTTATACAATTCAACAACCTTCTTGAAGCCAAAAGACATAAGGAGTTGAAAAGTGACTATGATGCATGGAACACTATTCCATACTTGGTTTTCACAAACAGTGAGGTTGTTCAACAGTTTGTTACAAAATATACACAAAATATATTTGGGAACATGCAAGATGAATACTCCAAGTCAATCAAATACCATATACGACCAAACAACTCGAAGGATATAGATGAAATGTTTGCATATGAGCTTCACAAACTAGATCAGCAAAGAAATTCTATTGATAAGAGGATTGTTATGGTTGACTTTGTGGAGCGTAAGCTGATTTGCTCATGCAAGATGTTCGAGAAGTGTGGATGGCTTTGTCGCCATGTGTTGCGCGCAATAGATCACCTCGGCTATGGAGGACACCCAGAAATCCTGAATATTCACACACGCTACATATTAAAGAGGTGGACATATGATGCAAAATCTGGAGATTTCACACTACCGGCAGTACAAGATACAGCAGAGAGGGTGTACTGTTCAAGGGTGAAACAACTTACTGGATCCATGAATTTGCTTGCAACACGCACTTGTATGGATGATGACATATACAAGATGCTTGAGGAAGGAATGCAAGCATTGAAGATTCGTGCTGAATCCATGATGCCTGCCATGAAGTTTGGCCAGTCTAGCACAAGCACAGGTATGAAACACTACCTTTAATTTGGTGCAGGTTTGAGGTTTGTAATGATATCACTTACTGTTTGTATCCTTAGTATGTTTTTTCATAACAGTTAGTATTCTTTTAGTTGATATTCATATCAATGACTGTTAGTAATGATATTAGATAAAGTTTGTATTGTTAGTATATTTTTTCTGGTCTGTTTCTTTGTAGGATAAGTTTGGCTACAAAAACTTACTATTGCTGTTAAATCCTTTGTTTTTTCCCTATTCTAGAAGCATAATTGAATCCAGCAAGTTCAGAGAGTGAACCACATTGGGCGAAAGCATTAAAAGTCAGGACTGATCCATTTAAATCAAGGACAACGAGGAAGAATCGAATTGAAATCATTCGAGAAAGGAGAAGACAAACAAAGTTACAAGAAAGGGCAGCGGAAGGAAAGTAAATACATGATACATGCCATGAAAGTAAATACAAGCAGCAGGTTTGTAATGATATCACTTACTGTTTGTACCCTTAGTATGTTTTTTCATAACAGTTAGTATTCTTTTAGTTGATATTCATATCAATGACTATTAGTAATGATATTAGTTAAAATTTGTATTGTTTGTAGATTTTTCTGTTATATACAAAAACTGACTACTGCTGTTTAATCCTATTGTAGAAGTGGAAACAAAGTTACAAGGACAAGAAGGAAGATTCGTACTGAAATCATTCAAGAAAGGAGGAGACAAACAATGTTACAAGAAAGGGCGGAGGACAGAATATAAATACATAGACAGAACTACTTGCCATATCATATATTACTTGATAGATACATAGATAAATTTGAGTGATTGCATAGATGCATAGATAAAGTGAATAATTGCCACATCAAACAATTCATTTCTTGCATTCTTTTTCAATTCACATTTGTATGTTTCTCATGCTTATTCTATGTTAGACAGAAACATTACGAAATAGGATACAAAAAATTACGAACCACAACAACAAAACATACAAACTACTGTGATAAAAATTACAAAACCAAAACATAGATAGCAGCCACCATAACACCAACAGCCACACTACTGTTCATAAGGTCACCGCATTACAAACCATGAGAATAGAAAATAGTACTAGTGCATACTGTCATGTATTACAAAAAAAAAACACTATTGGTTCCCTATTCCATCATTTGTCAAGCGAAAACCCAGTACTAGAACTCCCTAATGACAACAACAATTCTTCACTAAAAGACACATTCATCCTCAATTGCTCGATCATCAAATTCCTTGATCCATTCAGCAAAGTCAGCATAGCATTAATCTTCCGGTTGTAAATATAGGTTGGAGAAGACCATTTTTCCCTCATCGTCTTTGTAGCCACACCTTCCCATTCTTCACAGTAGTTTAAACAGATAATGCCAGCACTAGTGAAATCATCATATGGAATTGTGATCCTTCGCCATTTGAAGTCATTATCAAAGTCATACTTTCCTGGCATGATGTGCTGAATGTAAGATGTTGCATACTGGACGACCAGCTCTCCAACCCTCCTAAACCGATCTAGAAAATGCTTAGAAGGAGAGCTGTCAAGGTACTCGAAACGACGATCCTTCAAGTTAAAACAATATACCATGAAATGATCATCCATACAACATGGGAAAAGCCACTGCACATGAAGAAGAAACAAAGAAGAATCATAAAAAGTACAATCATACAAAGCAAAATTGTACAAAGTGTACAAAGTATGCAAAAAATATGAAACAAAATCACAAAGTGTACAAAAAATATGGAACAGAATCACAAAGTGTACAAAGTATACAAAAAATATGAAACAGAATCACAAAGTGTACAAAAGGATGAAATATTCCAACTTACATATTGGCATGTCTTGAAAGATGCACCATCTTGCAATGGGTATTTTCTGACATAAGATTTCATGACCTTCAAATATTTGGGTTCCATTTTGTCATTCACAACCTTGGACTAGGTACAATCAAAGACAAAAAAAACTTGCATTAATATGGCTAATAGATACTAAATGACATACAACAACATGTGAAAATTAACTCACCGCAAAGTCAGTTGGAAAAGACCATCTACCAATAAATCCATTCTCACAAGAAGAACAACGGTTGAAATTCTCAATATAGCAATCAAGAAATTTTATTGATAGAACAATCTTGTCACATGTCGTTTGGGTATCCTTCCTTGACAAGCGATACTCACCTTCACCCATGTCGAAAAGAATTTCATTCCTAAAAATGTATACAAACAGTTTATATTAAATTCACTAACCGAAGAAGAAAAGTACAAACTAATATATAAATGTATACAAACAGTATGAAATGAAATTTACACAGGAAATCTGTCACTCCAAGCATATTGAATAAGTTTTTCTTCATACAATAGTTGGCTACTAGTCCGAAGTGGAGCTACCTTCTCTAACTTCTTGGAGGTAGGTTTTTTCTTTTTTTGCCGAATAGGAATAGGTGCTTTCATGGAAGGAGGTTTACGCTTTTTATTACCAGTAGTATATGGTGTCCTCTTTAAATTGGATGGCTTGAGCTCCCTTTTCGAGCGTCTTTGATTAACGAAATCAACATTCGACCCAGAATCTAACAAAATAGAGACAACACAAACAAAACAGACAAACATTACAAACAGCAGCAGAAAAAGTAACTAAGTGTACAAAAAAGATTAAAACTGCAGTAAACGAGACTAAAGGACAGCACCAACTACAAACATAACGATTACCTTCGACGCCATTCTTGTTCTCATCTTCACCATTTGACTCATCTTCAGCGTTATCAATAGAAATATCATCACAATCATCTTCAATCCCAACCTCATCGTTATCATCACTATTTGACTCGTCTTCTCACAACCAAAACAACAAAGATGAAACAATATAGCACATTACAAAAGACATAAAGACAGAGAAGTAGATAATTAATAAACCATAAGATCTAGTTTGCAATCCACAAGTAGTGTGCACACACAACATGTGTACAAATAGTACGACAAAGAGTACAAACCATACAAACCAATCATAAAGTGCATATTTAAAAGATGTACTACAAATTTAAATAACCACCATCATTAACTAATCAAGCTTGTCACCCCGCTCACCATCAGCACCTGCCTCCACAGATTGTGCAATCTGTAAAACAACTTCCATACTATCCTTAAGTGGCAGCTCCTCGGAAACTGCGGTTGGCACGACTCCATCCTCTGCTGGCTGCTTTTGAAGTGTTGAATCAAAGGGCTGCGGAACTGCTGAATCACGAGTAACTCCATCCTTCACCACTGCTGGCTGCTGCCTCACAAGTGCTGGCGTCTTCTGGAACTCAGCTGGCTGCTGCGGAAGTGCTGGATCACTAGCACTTCCAGTCTTTTCCACTGCTGGCTACTGCCTCACAAGTGCTGGCGTCTTCTGGAACTCATCTGGCTGCTGCGGAAGTGCTGGATCACTAGCACTTCCAGTCTTCTCCACTGCTGGCTGCTGCCGCACAAGTTCAGGAGTCTTTTGGAGCTCAGCTGGCTGCTGCGGAAGTGCTGGAGCACGAGCACTTCCAATCTTCTCCACTGCTGGCTGCTGCCGCACAAGTTCAGGAGTCTTCTGGAGCTCAGTTGGCTGCTACGGAAGTGCTGGAGCACGAGCACTTCCAATCTTCTCCACTACTGGCTGCTGCCGCACAAGAGCTGGCTTCTTCAGATTAAATAGAGCTACATCATCATCAGTTTCCTCCTCACTCCTATCTCCATCATCATCGTCACCACTCCGATCACCATCATCGCTCCCATCACCATCACTACCACTCCCACTTCCATTCCCACTCCCACTCCCACTCTGATACCCGCCTTCACTCTCACTCTCTACATTATCAATTGTTGTAGCTTTCTCAACAACTTCAGCACATTCAGAAACATTTGTTGTAACTTTCTCAACAAATTCAACACCTTCAGAATCAGTGTGCACCTCGATATCAGCTAGGTATAGGTGACACTGATTTATCTGTCTTCGGTACAGCTTCCTTGCTGTTCCAACTCACATAATGCACTTTGCAACCTTCTCCAAATCAACTTAACCTACAACAAAACAAATAAAAGAAAACACGAACATAAGTTAGATAATGTACACAAATAATACAAACAGTACAAAGTAATAGACAAAAACATACAAAGTGTACAAACAGTGCAAAAAGATACAAAGTATACATACAGTACAAAGGATGAGACAAAAACATACAAAGTGTACAAACAGTGCAAAAAGATACGAAGTATACAGACAGTACAAAGGATGAGACAAAAACATACAAAGTGTACAAACAGTACAAAGTATACAGACAGTACAAAGGATGAGACAAAAACATACAAAGTGTACAAACAGTACAAAATATACAGACAGTATAAACACTACAGAAACATATCATAAAGCATATAAAGCATATGAACAATCTGTACAAAGTAAGCAAAGAACACATACAAAATCATACAAACTCACCTCTTGAACAGTTTTGCCATCCAGATTCAAATCAAAATCTGGAAATTCATCTCCAATACCAGAACCCTTCTCACCTCCAGCAACCTCAAAACCACTAATACTCTGAGCCATCTTCGGACGAGTAGTAGAAGAAATGGGTGCATCCCTTAGAACAAACACCTTACCAAAATCCTTCCCAAACTTCTTCTCCATTTCTGCCTTCCTTTGCTTCAAATTTGTCGAACTCCACAACTGACAGGTTGGCACCAAATTACTAACACAGCGGCTGGCCTCTTCCTCATTCACAGTTGTCCTATCGAGGAAACAAACAAGCAAGAAGTGCATATCTCCCTCAACCCAACTGTGATGCTGACTTGATGTCACCTTATCACAAATGAGACCATACACATAACCGCACCAATCATAGTCACAAAAATACTTAACCATTCCTTGAGAAAGAAAAGTCAAGTATTCTGTTGTCACCGTCCTAGATGTAACAGATTTGAAAAGGCGGCAAAAAATCATCAGCACATACATATTCACCCACCTAGAATCAGACTTCTCCGCTCCCATACAAGCCCTCAAATTCTCAAAACCAACAGTACCCTTCCCAGTTTACTGAAACCATAATCTTTACCAAGGTTAGAATTCACCTTTGATGTTTTCTGCAAACACACAGCATTTGGTCCCCTTGGAAGACCATAAACTCTGTAAACATCCTCTTCCGTAATACAAATCTTCTTTCCATCATCCAAGTGGATACACTTATTCTTCCCATCCCACCTTGAAATAATGAACTTAATAAGTTCATTGTCCAGATTCTTCATCTTCAGCAAAAAGACAAAATCCAAGCCCAGCTGCTTAATTAATTGTACCATGCCAAGAGATAAAGGAGGCAGCACATGACTCATAACCTCTTTCGGGCTGCATCGATAGTTCAAAGCAGCTTCATTCCCTCCCCCCGGAGCTCGCTTC